TTGCCAAAAATCGAATACGTATGCACTTGAACATAAATTGCCAACAATCGAATAAGCCGTGATCCGTCGAAAGATGGATAAAATAAAAAAAAATGTGGCCCTCCTCATAACTAAACCTCCTAACTCATTCCCAATTCATCAGAAAAATTTATGCAAATGGCAAAGACTTCTAGTATCGGAGAACGGTCGGGTACATTCCCCACGAATTTTCAGAAAATTTTCCCCAACATGAAGGCTCCCGGGAAATTCAGCGCACTATAATTTTAAAAAAAAACGTTAACGCTAACGCTAACGTGAAAGCAGATGATACTTATGAGAATGTTTATTTAAATGTATGAATGTGACATTTTGTCAATTTATGTCAAAGAGTAAACACTCGGAACTCTTTTTTGACAAATTTCTTACGCATGGTAATTCATGAAAATGTCAGTTTTAGTATAACTTTTGAATATCCTAACGTGCCATTGTTTTGTGTTAAACATGTTCGCAATGACGGTGGGACACTCATATGTCCGATACCATTTGTGTTGGGTATCATTTTCGTTGTTTCAACGCGAGGATGCACAATTTGGTGGCTAATCACATAAATACTCAATACCCGTAAAAGTTGTGTTCGGTACTTGGACACGCGGCACGCGGCGCGTCAGCAACATCTCCAAGCGGGGCCGGCCGGCCGGCGCGCCACCCGAACCCGACCTCAAGATAGATAAGCAAGAGTGGCCCACACTGCCGACTGCCGACGCGCCGCTTCTCGAGAGGGGCAGGGGTTCGGGGGGCGCTGCACTATGCGTTCTACGCACTCAAGGTTCAAGTGCGTGTGTGTGTAGACTGCTGCGGGGTGTGGCGGGGCGCGGCGGGACGTGGCGTCTCGGCAAGGGAATGGGCGAGGGGGGCGGCAGCTACGCGATGCGTGCTAGCAGCGTCTCGTGACGACGCGCAACGCGAGGGACGCACTTCATGAGTACTAGAGAGCTGGGTGTCGAGGTTATACGCCGCGCGCGCAACCCGAGCCCCCGCAGCTGCCCCGATTCATGAGCGGCGCGCGGCGCGACCGTGACCGCGGCGCGGCACGCTGCGGGCCCTCCGCTCATAATCTTCTAGGCAGGCCAGCCAGCCGCTGCCTTGCCAGCGAGGCGCTCGGCCTCTTCTAGGCTTGCTAGTCAGGCAACGAGGCAACTGCTGCCTGCCTAGCCGGAAACTCGGTACTCTCTGCACGAGAGTACAAGCACGCTGATACGTGAACGTATCATCTGCTAAAAAGCTAGAGTACATATCTCCATGACGTTCGAGACCAGAGGTTTTATTTCCCCCCGGACTTGACTGGTTCACCAGACTCGCGGGAGCCCTGATTCAACACACCAAGGGGCACCAGCACCATGGGCAAAGGGTGCTTCACCTGCGGCGCCGCGGCACGTCGGCCTGCATGGTGGCATCCCCGCCGCGACTCATGTGCACTCATGTGCACTCACTCCTGTGGCCACCGCAGTGCACCGCAGTGCGCCGCAGCCGGCCGGCGACGGTGCCTCGGAGCCACCGCGGCCACCGCGGCCACCTCGGTACCCACGGAGGTGCCCGTCAAAAGACCCGCTGCAAACGCATGGTCCGTCTTCCTGAGTTACGCATTCTCGTGCACCGCGCGCCGCTGCACCATTGCCAGGTCTGCCGCCTCGTCCGCCGTTGCCACATTTCAGCCGACAGGCCAGGCGGGCCGGGCAGGCCAGCCAGGCAGGCCATGAGGCGGCCAAAGCCCGGCCCGGGGGAGGGGGACGCCCTGCGAAAGCCCCGCGCGCCGCCACGCCGCCGCGCCCCGCCGCCGCGCCCCGCGAGAGACCGCGCGCCGAACAGCCTGACCTCCGCTGATCCGCCGCGCCGATCCGCGCGCTGAACCGCCGCCGCCGCGCGCCGCCGAGAACGGCACGGGCCAGCCAGCAGCCAGCCCGGCAGGCAGCACAGACTGGCACAGACGGGTAGCGACCCTGCCTTTTACTGGACGCGGGGAGAAAACGCCTCCGTCTGCCAGCGCCGCCAGCCCGGCCAGCAGGGCAGAGCCAGGGCAGAGCGCACCGCACCACCGCGGCGCCGGGACTTTCCTTTCCTTTCCTACGACGCTCCAATTTACCCGACTCGCGATGCCAAACGACCAGCCCGCCAGGCCGCCGCGGCGCCGGCGACCGATAAAAAGCAGAACGCCACCGAAAAAGCGCAGCGGCTGCAAAACGGCCAGTGGCGCAGCACGGCGCAGCGCGCAGCGATAACAGGGACGCGGGGCTCGCGAGGCACGCCGCTGCAATGCGGAGCAATGTGAGGGCGCCCCGCCCCGCCCCGCCCCGCCCCGCCCCGCCTCGCCGCAGGCCCCCTCCCTTTCCCAACACACACACGCCGGCGCTAAACTAATGAGGGGAACACAGCGGGCCACACAAAAACCAACCGTATCAAAGAACGCACACAGCAAAAAAGAAACAGCCCGCCGCCACGCATTCCACAGGTACTCTGCGAAAAAGGGGGAACTGCGCAAGCAGCAAGCAAGGCGACTGTGCGGACGGACCGACTCGCCCACGTCGCGGATGAACCCGCGGTGCGAACCGGACACTATCGGGGCGGGGGATTCCGAAGAGCCGTTTCGACGCTCTGTCTCTCTCGCACCCCGACGGGAGGGAGGCAGAGCGACGATGTCAGCCTTTCGGACCCGATGGATCCGAAGAGACCGACGGGGTGCCGCCGCGTGTCGCATTTTGTCCCATGCTTTGAAATCGCGCTGCGCCGATTTGTATCCACGGGCAGCATGTCATGCCCGCCGAGACGGCCGGGACGGCCTGGGACCCCGGAAGGGGCGTGGACCGTGTGCCGCGACCGGCCGCGACGTGCGCGCACGGCACGCCAGAGCTGTCACGCGCGGACACGCGCCGCCGGCAAGGCGGCAAGGGCCCCGGCGCCTTGCTGCGCCCTTGCTGCACCCTTGCTGCACCCTTGCTGCACCCTTGCTGCACCCTTGCTGCACCCTTGCTGCACCCTTGCTGCACCCTTGCTGCACCCTTGCTGCACCCTTGCTGCACCCTTGCTGCGCCCTTGCTGCACCCTTGCTGCACCCTTGCTGCACCCTTGCTGCACCCTGCGCCTCGCGACGGGCACTCGACACAAGGGCACCGCCGGCGAGGACGGCACGACAAACGCTCAGCGAGTTGACTGGGCGACGCAGGGCGACGCAGGGCGCAGCGGACGCTGAAAGTGATCCAAACTCTGGTGAGGATAAGGCCGAGATTCGGCCGAACCGCCGTTGGAGCCGAGGGTGGCCCGCGGCCCGGGGACGTTCCAAGCCGTCCCGATGCTGCCCGACCGGCCGAGAGCGAGGGCAGCGAGGGCCCTGTCCGGGACCGCCAGCCGCCCCAACGCCCCAACGCGGCGGCTTGGCGGCCACGACGCCAATCTGCCCCGCCGGGCCTCACCGTCGCCGAGCCGCCGAAATATGGAAACGTTGCTTGGTCGGATTCGGGCCGCCCCGCCAAAAGCCTCCAGAGGGGCCCAAGTGACACCAGTGGCGGGCCGGGAGAGCCGGGAGGGCCGGGAGGGCCGGCGGGCAGGGCGCACACCGCAGCAGCAACGCGTCCCCTCCCCCCACATTTCCTCCGCCTCCTCCCGAGCCGCATTCCAGAAGCGCAATTACCCCGCCACGCCACGGCCGCCACGGCCACGCCGCAGTGGCCTGTTCTGGTGCTACACTGTTGGAAACTCCGTCCGGCCGTCCGGCGGGGCGTGCAGCGTGCAGCGTGCACGGCGTAACGCGCCGCGCGCCTCACATTCGACCATCCGACATACAGCCTCAACTTCGGCCAACTTCGGCCGCGGCCGGCGCCACGCCCAGCGGCGGCGAAACAGGCGAAGCGGGGCGCACCGCGACAAGCCGGACAAGCCATCCCGCGACCACGTCAACGCCGACCACCGGGCCGCGAGGGACGCGACGAGGACCGCCACCCGAAATGCACGGAATGGGCCGGCCGAGGCCACCACAACTATGGACACTTTCAGAGCCCTGCATTTCTCAAGGGGCACTCAATGGGGCAATGCACGGCAATGCACTGCCACCGTCGTGGGCATTCAGGGTGACCGGACAAACCCTAGCCCGGCCCGCCATGGGATTTGTGGGACGCCCCGTAGGCAACGGACTCCCCAAGCAACGCGGAGGAGGGGCTGACAAAGGCAACGCCAAGCAGAGGGAGTGCAGCAAGGTCGCGGCCGAAGCCGGGCACGCAAGGCGACGCAAGGCGACGCAAGGTCACGCCGAGCTGAGGCGTCTCCGAAACACACGACGCAGAATGCAGTCGTCGGGGTCCTTGAGGCCTTGAGGAGGTTCGCAAGGGTGATCGCGAGGGGGTTCCCGAGGGCGTTCCCGAGGGCGTTCCCGGGGGCGGCAGGACGACTGGCAGAGGTGCAGCGAGCGCCCCCGCCGCCGCCGCCCCCGCCCTCGCACGCGCGCCCACACGGCCCACACGCCGGCACTCGGGAAAGGCCTTTCTTTGTCTAGAGGGAGCCGCGTGGTGGACGCGAGACGCGACGCGCGGGGCACAGCGATTGACCCCTGCGTGGCGTGGCCTGGCGTGGCCGCGTCGCTTAGTCGCTTCCCTCAACAAAAGGCGGTCTGGCGATCTCGGAACGCTGCCAGCAATCGCAATGGCACTGTCCTCACCTCATTCTGCTTTCCCTCTGCGCCGATCGGGCCGATCGGGCCGATTGGGCCGACTGGGCCGATTGGGGCGCTTGGGCCGCGAGCGCCTCGACGGGACGAACGTCAGCGCGGACAAATTCGAGAAAAATGAACCCCTACGCGAGGGGTTCACAAAAACCCCACGGGCATATAACTTTACACACTGGCTCTGTGCCCTGAATGACATATATACAGAGATTTCCTTCACTGACAGTATTTCTCGGCCAAGAATATTTTTTCGATTGGACTTTAAAAATGCAAGGGACTAGGATAGTTTAGAGAAAGCAAATAAGGCACTTACCTCGGTGTATCCCATGTTGTGGAGCTGGTTTGGTAAATCCTTGTCTAATCCATTTCCGCCAGAAGCTGCACTGAATCCACTTAGTCCAGAGGCTGAACTAACACCACTTGTTGTTGAGAGGGTTGATATTGTACTTGCAGCACTAGAGCCAACATTGCTATCACCACCACTGTTGGCAAATGGCAGGAGAGAATTTCGAATTTCTGCCAAGGCTTTCTGGTGATAGCCCGTTGTACGGGTCGATAACTTCCCTGAAGTTGCAGCGTTCATAGTGGCAAACGATTGCTGGCCCATGCTAGACCCGACAGGGCGCGGGAGCGCAGGGACCAGACAGGGGCCCAGTGGTGGTGGGCCCCGCTCTTCTGTCCACATGCACAGTTTTCACTTTTGACACTGTTGGTCACTTAACACACTCACTGCACTTCCACATTTACAAAGGTACCGTTTAATGCGGTACCTGCCTCGTCTGCCTAGACATTGCAGCATCATTCTGTAGGCCTACATTTCACTGACTTTAATATATTGTAAAAATTCACTGTACACTGCTTGTTTGCTTCATGATATGTTGGCACTGTAATCCATTCCCATGTCACTGTTCCTTTGAAGAGATGGGTTCGCGATGACAACAGAGTTCTGGAAGAGAAAAGAAAAGCGGAGGTCAAATCCAATGTTTGGGAGCTTTGGTTATTTTAAACATCTTAAAACGTTGTGCATGAACAGTCACTCAATGCCCAAATCAATCTACAGAAATGAAAACAAATGTTTCAGAACACTGTCTAGTACAAGCAATTGCTGATTGTTGTCAGGCACACACAGAATTGACTTCAATATCATCAGTTATTCAGGGCTAAGATAGAAAAAAAACAGAATAACCAAGAGGATATTGGAATAGATAAACAATTGGTCAGAGCTCCACAAGAATGCCACAAAATGAATATTAATTCTTAAAAAGACAAAAAGCACAAACAATAAAGAAATGGAGAATTGAAATCAAGAATTGAAGTAGAACCAGTATGTGTAAGAAGTGTGAGCAAATAACCAACAGTCTGTAGAACTATCGGACTTGATAACGAACAGGATTTAAGCTCATTTTCCCAGTTTACAGATCACATCATAAGATAACTGACTAAAACTCAATGAAATTGAGATAAAATGAACAGGAGAATGGTCTCACAAATATATGACTGTGCCACAGAAGGTTGTAAGGAGTTGACATGGAGAGAAAAGAATGCAACAGGTGAGCCAACAGGTTTTAGTCAATTGTCTGTATGTCTCTGGAAGTACTCAACACCAAGGTGGGCAAGCAAGGTTAGGTATTACTACGTTATCAACCACATAAGTTCACAAATCAAATCCCATTCTGTCCCGCCAAAGAAAGACACTGAATCAAACGTAAGGAATGCCACCAAGGGGCCTAGGTTAGACCGACTTTTCGAAAACACCCACAAACCTCAGGACAGCAGTTAATCGTGTGTAACACTAGACAAATGATGAGAGAGCACGAGAATCACTTTTGTTGATCAACAATCCCTGAGACTGAAAGCAGACGGTCGGCAGACGATCACTTTCATAAACAACACGAATCCGTCCGACCATCTCTGCTTTCGGAACTGTCGAAGGCTACTCAGTTCCAAGTTCACTTAATCCGTAAAATGTTCCGAAGTCACACGAACTGCGTACGAACACGACAACGCAACGGAGCCGAACACTAAACTACACATCGTCACTCGTAAGTCGGAGAGCGAAACCTACTCAGACGACTCGGAAAACAAAGAAAAGTTGCGACGATTAAGACAAGCTACTGCCCGCCATCTTGAAGTGCCACATTCCGATGCGCGGGACTACGTGGTCAAGTGAGGAGCTGTTTTAACATCCATTCCTAGAAACGGTGGCATTTCTCGGAGTCCCAGTCCCATGCCATTTTATTTCAATGCTTCACATTTAAAGAAGGCGAACGTATTTATTCTATTTGCTCCTAACACATCGCGTACGAAATATTGGGCGTTGACTCGACAAAAGACTTGGAAGGAGAATCTGGAGTAGATCTGCGAGGCAGCTACCATAGCGTCTCGTTATTTCCTGACTTCAGATGCTTTGGGACAGCCAAAAAAAGACAACTCCACTTCAACGTCACAGTTTAAGGGATGGTTGTTATAAGACATATTTACGACCATAGGTTTTTAAGTTTGAATAGCGTGGTGACGTGATGGGGGGCCGGAGTCTCCCTTCCCGCTACAGGACTGCGTAAGGAGAGAGCGGTTCTTCTCCGGTTGTCTCTCTCTCTCCCCCGCCCTTTCCCCTACATGCTGTGATGCGTGTGCGACGCCAACGCGGGTGCAGTATTTTCGAGCGCAGCCGCGGCAGACTCTATGCCTTCTAGCAAGACTGTCATCATTACAAGGCATTCACATTCCAATGATAGTTCCACATTTCAGCCCTTTGATCGCTAGAATCGCTCATGGCTACACTGGTTACCACTAAGCCAATGGTTACGACTGTAATGCTCTTTGGTGCTTCCCTAGTTTACCAAACCCATTTTCACTCCAGCAAGAACTCCATACAGTACATACAGTGGTCCCAAGAGTAGTGCCGCTGCATTTCCCTCTGTGTTCCTTGCATGCATAAAGGAATTAAACGAACAGTCGGAGGAGGTTCACGTCTGGCGTTTTACACAATGTTCCTATTTCCGATAGTGTGCTTTGATTCTGACTTTGAGGGCCCCACTCCACCTGTGAAGCACATGGAGTAGAGCCATGCGCCCGGTCCATTGGCAACCCCTCGCACGCGTGCGCGCTGTGGGCGGTGTGGGAAAGCGGCGAGCCCGAGACGAGGTGGGGTTGGTGAGGTGAGGGAATGACAGTCAACTTCGGTTATAATGAACTCGTTTTATTGGGAATGCACAAATAACGAGTTAGACAGTAACAAAGTTTCAAACATTCATAGCAACGTTCTGGTTTTCCCTAGCGTTTCCCGCAACTTTTGCAACCGCCGCCGCCTCCACCCTTTCCTCCTCCCCCGCCGCCGCCGCCGCCGCCTTTACCTCCGCCTCCGCCCCCTCCTTTGCCACAACCGCCTCCCCCACAACCCCCGCCCCCACCACTACCCCCTTTCCAGCCTCCACCGCCTCCTCCGGGGGACATGTGACCTCCTTTGTACATTCCACAGTCACCTCCTCTGCATCCACCGCCTCCCTTCATACCTCCACAATCTCCACCTTCGCAACCACCCCCGCCTTTCATGCCTCCACCGCCCTTCATACCCCCGCCCCCCTTCATACCCCCACAATCCCCACCTTCACAACCGCCGCCACCGCCCTTCATACCCCCACCTCCCTTCATACCCCCACAATCCCCACCTGCACAGCCACCCCCTCCGCCCTTCATACCGCCGCCCCCCTTCATACCCCCACAATCTCCACCTTCACAGCCACCCCCGCCGCCCTTCATACCCCCACAATCCCCACCTTCACAGCCGCCTCCACCTCCCTTCATACCTCCGCCGCCCTTCATACCCCCACAATCCCCACCTTCACAGCCGCCCCCACCACCCTTCATACCCCCACCTCCCTTCATACCCCCACAATCTCCTCCTTCGTAGCCTCCACCACCACCCTTCATACCCCCACAGTCTCCACCTTCACAACCCCCTTTCACCACACCCACTATACGAACTCGTACCACTTTTTTTACTCCACCCCCACAGTCACCCCCAGCACAGCCACCACCTTTGTTGCTGCCCCCACAATCACCACCCGAGCATCCTCCGCCGCCGCCTTTCATCATACCGCAATCTCCTCCCCGGCACCCTCCGTCACTGCCTTTGCCACCGCAGTCGCCACCTGAACAGCCCCCGCCGCCCCCGCCACCCTTCCCGCCCCCGCCACCCTTCCCGCCCCCACCCCCGGGACGGGGCGAACGTGCCGTCCGGCTTTTGCCACGGCCATCACTCTGCCCTTGATCCTGGACGCCCTGGACCGCGGAGCCGTTGACTGCTCCGCTGTCGGATCCGCCCGAGCCGTCGTCTTGGCCTCCGCTTGGCCCATCCTGGTCGCTGTCTAAAGATCCACTTCCTTCTTCTTGGCTTCCATCCTGCGATTCGGCTCCTGCAGCTTGGTCGTCAATGCCGTCCGTGTCGTTGGCTCGTCGAAGGCCAATGTCGTCTCCATCCTGGTCGTCGGCCCGCTCTGACTGGCGCCGTGTTCTGGGGCTCGCCACGGAACTGGCCACCAACGCGACCCAGACAGCAATCACCAACAGCGACAGCGCGGCGCCCTTTAGGACAGCGGCTAGCATAAGTAACTTGTCTCAACACCATTTGCAATTAGTAGCCTGCACCTGTCCCTCACCTGCCAGCTGGACCGACGCCCCCGCGTCCCCGGGGAACGCGCCCGGGCCTCTCGGTTCCTCATGACAGCAGCGCAGCGACCCTCCTCGACCGGCAAGCCGTCGACGAATGGCTGCACGGGGGAGCTGTTCCATCATTTCATCCTGCGACTCACCTAACACGCGTCGAAACGTAGAACCGACAACAAGAAAAAGAGGCCCGCACATCCGGCAATCCTCAGGCCGCGATAGTTTCGTCCCGAAGCGTTTGGCGCGCGGATATTGGAAATTCGAATCCTCCGTGGCTGTGTCGAATGGTCGAATGGGCCGCGCCTTGCGACCAGAACGCTCCCTGGCCGCCAGGCCTTCCAGGGGTCACCCTGACGGAGGGCCGCCTGATTTACTCCAATTTCCGATTACCTGCACTCCGGCACGGTGCCCGAGCGATTCTAACACCAAAATGCCCCCGTCCCCATGTTCGCCGAATCACCACTCATCGGACAACAACTCAATACTTCCGCTGTTCGAAATTCGATCGCCAACTCCCGGTCGTGGGCCGGGCAACGCAACTCTTCGACGACGCGGACAGGGCGTATCCAGGACCTTTCTGAGGGAGCGCATTTTGCCTACTTGCGGAGGCAAGGTGTTACTTTTTGTCCACCTTTCAGGTGGCTCTGCGCCAGGAGAAAAGGGTGAGGGGAGGCCTTACAGGCTTGTTTACTTAAAACATAATGCCGGCTGCGGGATGCATCCTGCATGCTGCCCCAGCGCCAGGCGCACAAACGCCCTAGTGCGAGGGCAGTTTGCCGTGTACAGTCACAGTCCTGCTGACTCAGCGGGCAAGGGGCTGAGAGGTATCGAGCAAGGTTCGTTGTTCGGGAGGGAAGTAACAACATGGCTGGTCACGGCTGGCAGTGACGTCATGCGGTGTGACGTCGCAATGACTTCCGCATGGTCTTCGTTTGGGGAATGCACATCTTCCGTGTCAAAACTAAGCCGCTGATGAAACTGCGGCACTGCCCTTGGATCCGACTTCATCGTAATTTTCCTCAAGTGCTCTGTTGGAACCATCCGTGGAGCACCGATTCAAACTGCGTCTCACCCATGCGGTGTACTGATGCAACCAATTGCTAGTTTATATTGTGGTACCCAAAAGAGAGGGTCAACGTTAAATTAAACTCAGATGGATTACAACAGTAAAAAAATAAAATTAGAGGAATTAGAAAATGGATGATCGTTTGCTAGGTTCCATTTGACGAGGAAAGCTGTTTGCTATGCGGAGCTGCACTCGACTCTCGTAGTCAGTTTGTATCAGCTGTTGCGAGCAGGAAGACGAGGTCTCTTTGTTTTCGTTGAGTCGTAGATATGAAATGCGAGAAACATTTCTCTCGTCTGAAAGCTCCAACTCGGGGAACCTCCACGTGAGAGACGCTACATGCCAGTGCAATTCTCTTCCACTCTCGGTGCAGACAGACTATGCACCCGTCATATTCCCCTTGACTGACCAGCTCCACTGAAATGGCTAGCAATAGAGGAGTGCTAAGCCTCAGGTTCAACCAAGACCAAGGTTTGTGTTACCCCCGTGCCTAAAGAACTAAAGAATTTGGTTGCGGAATTGAAATCTCGTTCGTGTAGTGGTAATCGGGCCGTCCGTCGGAAACTTTATGTTGAAAGGCTAAGATCCTAACCTATTGGCAGCATGTAAACATAGCTGCCAGTATTGAAATTTCACAATGTGAAATTTCTCAACCACATTGTTCTTAATAATTTATTTGTGATTGGTTCAGGAAGAAGAGCTGATTTGTTTAAAGCACTTGCCATTAGTTAGTGTGGGTTCCCCTTCAGGGCGGGTTAAAATTATACCAACTGGAAGGTACCATCACAAATCTGCAATTTTTTTATTTCTCATTTCTTCATTTCTTTTAAAATGAGGAGAGAGAGACTTTTTTTTTTTACTGTAAAGGATAGCATGAAAAATCAGTTTTCGCATGGCCAAATTGTATTTTGAAGACGCTAACTTTGAACTCAGAAGTCATTGTTGATCAGGTATAGGAAAACTATTGCTGTCCCATTTCCAAAGTGCACTTCTAGGGGGCACTGAATTGCATAAAAGGTTTTAGAATATATTGTCAGAATACCACATGATAAAAATGATGTCACTAAGTTGAAACCTCACATCATGTTACTTATCTTATTACCAAATCTTGGCGAATGCATTTTGTATTTTATTTCTCTTGGTTTCAGGATGCTTTACTTGCTGCATGGAAAGTGGACTTCGCATATACAATGTGGATCCATTGGTTGAAAAAGCTCATTTTGGTAAGAAATTTTTGTCAAGTTTAAGAGAAGAAGCCTTTTTTAAAAGTATAAATGGTATAGTTAGGTCATCAGAAAGACACTGTATTTTTTTAGATTGTGCAGTGTGTTCAAAAGGAAAGAGGAAGCATGTAATTTTGAAAATAATTCTCTGTAACTTGTTTTTTGTTGCAGATTTGGAGTTAATGGGCAGTGTAGCTATATGTGAAATGCTACATCGTACAAATCTCATTGCCATAGTCGCTGGTGGTTCACATCCTAAATTTGCTGACAACACTGTTCTAATTTATGATGATCATGCAAAAAAATTTGTGTTGGAAATAACATTTACTACTCCCGTCAAGGCTGTCCGTTTAAGAAGAGACAAGTATGCTTCTAGGATGTGAACTTGAAAATGAAAATGGTTCATCTTGTCAGTGAATAATTTCTATTTGTTATAATTTCTTTCTTTTTGACAGATTGGTTGTGGCTCTGCTCAAGGAGATTCATGTTTTTAGCTTTCCTGCCCCAGCTCAACGATTGTATACTGTTGAAACAAGAGAGAATGCATTAGGGTTGTGTGAAATCAGCCCAATTGTTACTGCAGAAAGGCAATTATTAGCATCTCCTGGACATAAAATAGGGAGTGTACAACTTGTTGTATGTCATACAACTTTTCCGTGCTTTTTGGTGGTGAAAACTAGTGTTCCTTACTAATGAATTACATCATTCTTTTTTTCAGGATTTGTCTAATACAGAGGCAGGTATATCATCAACACCACTTACTATCAATGCACATAAAGGAGAACTATCTTGTCTAGCAATAAATCAGCAAGGCACTTTAATTGCAACAGCTTCATGCAATGGGACATTAGTGCGTGTATGGTGCACATTGCGAAGGGAACAAGTGGTAGAATTGAGACGCGGCTCTGATCCAGCAACATTGTATTGGTAAGTTTTGGAGTGTCAGAGAAGACAGTTTATTTTCCCCTGTTTCCTGTCATTTTAACACCAATAACTATGTTCTAATTTTTGTGCCCAGTATAAACTTTAGCAGGGACTCAGAGTTCTTATGCTGCTCAAGTGATAAAGGAACTATACATATATTTGCATTGAAGAAAACTCATCTTAATCGACGGTCCACGTATGTATTCTACTTATAAAAATTCAGATTTGTGTAAAACTCATGTTTTTATAAAACTGTATATTTTAGGTTTTCTAAAATGGGTATTCTTGGAACTTATGGAGAATCCCAGTGGGCACTGGCAAATTTTACAGTCCCTCCCGAATGTGCCTGTGTCTGTGCTTTTGGCTTGCGGAATTCCGTCATTGGTATGTCTAGTTTGTTTGTAGATAAGATGGTGTTCCCCCCGTTGTAAATTTTGTCCTGAAAATGTCATATTTTTACTATTGTTGCAGGTATTTGTTTAGATGGAACTTTCCACAAATATGTTTTCAACGATGATGGCAACTGTAACAGAGAAGCATTTGATGTCTATTTAGATGTATGTGACGATCATGAGTTTTAGGTGGAGAATTGTAGGATTAAGTTTGCCTTGAAGTTTCTGTGATAATTTTTGGGGGTGTTCCCTTTAAAATCAAGCAATCGCCTACCCCCTGCTTTTGTATTTTTTGGAGTTTACAGAATGTTTAGCTCTTTTAGGTCTGTATTTTTCTGTCCAGTAACTTATCTGCTACTTAATAGTATATACCAAGAATTTATGCCATTGTTGCTTGTCTATTATACAATTAATTTATGAACTTATTTTTATTCCAAGTAAGTCTTCTACATTTTCAGTTCAAAATTTATTTAAGTCAAGTCAAAAATCTAGGCAGATAAAAGCTTTCACTGCTTTGTTAAAATGTTTCTCTTGTTTGAAAGGCTGTGGTTCCAATTGTGTTTTCCTGTAAGTTGTGTAAGTAGATGGTAGAGTTGTTGCTAAGTCATGTGATTAAATTGTCAAGCTTGTTGACAATATTGTTCATACAGCTCACATGTAATGCTATATTATGTGTGGGAGCCAGCCGCTAAACCGTGAAGTGCACTTAAACTTGTTCTTTGAGTGCTTTCCAATGATGCACTTCTCTTTGGTTTGGTTTGGGACCAAATATACACAGCCATTGAGAAGTTGATCCTCAACAATAGTTTGGAACTGTGTGGATAGTTCCTCGGCTTTCTCTTCATAGCACTGGTATGTTTTTCTGCTATTTGTATTTCATGAAATGTTCTTCCTGATTTTTTACTGACTTGACCTATAATAGGCTTCAACAGTAGGTAGAATTGTTATTCTTAAAATACCCTTTGAGTTGGAAGGCCATTTTCATTAATTCCATTCCCTCCTCCCACAATTTTAAAGATATCCTGGAGTGAAATGACAGTCAATCATTGGATGCACACTCATGTCATGTAACTGTAAAACTTATTCTGCCTATTTTGTGTTGTTTTTTTTGAAAGTACAGTAGTATGTTCTGTGTTTTATGAACTTATTACAATTGTTGAAATGCTTTTTGGTGATTGATAATTTATCAAATTTCATTGAACCTGAATGTTTCTTGATGTCTCTGGATTTGTCGTCTTCCAATCCTTCTGAAAATTAAAAATTTGAATTAAGGTTACCTACTGCTTAAGGTAGCCCTACTTGAGAGAATGTGTGTAACATTTTGCCAAATGATTTTGAGCTTATTTTGGGAATAGAAATTAATAATTGCTTTTACAAATTTTGCGTGTTATTCTTAAAGTAGGTAGGTTCTTAGTTTTATGGTCTTCCAAGGCAATCAAGATCTCAACGGAGACTTCTACATAAATGAAGGGAGGAGGGGCATTAATTTGACCAGTTGGAGATGTGTGACTGGTATATTTTTTAGCATACCAATCTTAAAGAATGGAAAATGTAAAAGATATTCTGTATGTACGTGTTAATAGTCATCTACTCTTGCGTCTATGTAAGGAAACACTTAAACGATGATTGTGTATCTATTTACACACGTGTTGCGAAAAATCGTTTTGTAATTTTTTTACCCTTTAATGTTTTCTACTGTCCTTAAAAATTTGTAAAAAAGAAAAAAAAATGATTAATAAACTGATTGTTGCTGTGAATACTGGTAATTTTCGGGTAATCAGCTTATTTTGCATGTGTCTTCACCAGTCCCTCCACATTTTAATCTACATATTTGCTGAGCCCTTAATCTTTACCTCTATCTCTAACTTAAACTTTACTTCTAGTTCTAGCCGAAAATCCTCCTCTTTACCTACTCTTTACCCACCCTCCCTTCTCCTCCTTTCCGTTCTTCCCCCGCAGCAAAGTGAATATGAATCTGACGAAAGGAAAATGGGTTTTGGCCAGTTTTGGCTTTAGTTTCAGAACCCGCCGCCGGCAAGAAGAGCGCTGTACGTCACCGGATCGCTTGATCGACTCGACGGACCTAACCGTTCTAAAAACCGGATAAATTGTGCCGGACTTCTGTCTTAAGTTAGATTTTCACTTGAAAAATCAGCCATATTGTTGAAAATGAGTACGGACAACATAGAAAAGCTTTACAAGCATTTCGGTGTTCTTGCGGATGCCAAAGACAAAGTCAGCGAGGTGAGTTAACCCTATTTCCTAATTCCGTTTAGCATCACAATATTCTCCCCGGTTTCTCTTTAGAACTTTAATTTTGTCCCTCTCTAGTATTGTGCTGGAGCTGAATGATGAGTTTCTCGATCCCTACATTTTCTTCTTCTGATAACATGTGCGAAGCTTCATGTGCAACGCACACTTACCAGTTCTAGTTTAATATTGTTTTAAAGATGTAAGAAGGCATGCAAATGATTTGCATGTACTATTGTTGTAGGCAACCAGTTGCATGTCTATGATTGTTATGCACTTCTCAATTTATTTTTTTTTCTGTAAAATTTGAATCACTTTTACTGGCATTTGACATAAAGCTGCCCGTTCCTCTACCCCTTCTTTCTGTTTTTCATGCACTTTGTACATACCTCTGTTGTCTCCTCCACAATGTTACTATGTTACCATTTACTGTTCCAGCATGAAGAAGACTACCTGGAAATTCTGAAAGCAGTTAAAGGATCGGACAAGGAGAAGAGACTTGCATCCCAATTCATTGCCAGGTTTTTCAAACATTTTCCTGCTCTTTCTGATCAGGCCATTGAAGCCCAACTGGACCTTTGTGAGGATGAAGATTTGGCTGTAAGTTCTTGCTTTTACTTTTTGTGGGCCTTTGGAGGTATTTGTCCTGATTAATCCTAAGATTTTGCGTCTGTAGATACGTAAGCAAGCTATAAAGGACCTTCCCCGTCTATCTCAAGATCTCAAAGTATACACATATCGCATTGCTGATATTTTAGCTCAGCTCTTGCAAGCACAGGATCCTTCAGAGCTCAGTGTTGTTCATAACTCCCTCATGACTTTGTTCAAGCAGGATCCAAAAGGTAAACAATTAAATGTACAAGCATGCTCTTTAAGAAAGTTTGGGATAAACAGGGTACCACTTACAATTTTTCTTTTGCAGGTACATTAACTGGCATATTTTCCCAAATATCTAATGGGGATGATCTGAGTCGTGAGCAGTGCATGAAATTCTTAACTGTGAAAATAAGAGCACAGGGCTCTGAGATATTGGACAAGGAAAGTGAAGATTTTCTGATTGCAGAATGCAAGAAAGTTCTTCAGGTTTGTAATATTGTTTTACATGTTTCTCTTATAATCTGCCTTATTTAGATAACATTTCAAGGGATTTTTATTTGCTTAGGATGTCACTGCTGAAGAGTTTCATCTATTAATGGAACTCCTAAATGCCACCCGTCTTGGCAAGACTGTTAGTGGTCAAAAGGAGCTGGTGGATATTGCTGCTGAGCAAGCTGAGTTGGGTCAGTCTTTTAACCCAACTGACCCAGACAATGAAAGCTTTGATAGACTTGTTAACTGTGTCAAACATGCTCTTCCATATTTCTCGGTGGGTTGCAAGTTTGTAATGTTGTAGAGTGGTTGAGTAATTTTCATTATCCATTTTTACAACTTTTCTTTGATCTTTTTAGAAACAACTTGAATCTACTCGATTTGTGGTTTACTTTTGCGATGAAGTACTTCCACAGTTGCACTTGGTTGGAGGTGCTGAGGAAGGAACTGGAACAGATCAGCAGTTAGAGTTGTTGAATCTTTTGGCAGATCTCTCAACTTTCTGTGGACCGTTGGAGAAAGCTGAATCAAGAGTCAATGAAGTTTTCACCCGACTGTTGGTGAGCAATTTCAACCTGTTTTATTTTGCACGTGCACCTTGTCAATGAAGAATCTTAAATGGATTTACAGCTTGTTATGTCTATATCTTTTTGCTCATTTCAGGAATTTATGCCACTTCCTCCTGATGGTGATGCTGATGAAAAAAGTGAACCTCGACTTGACTTTTCTCATGTTGAATGTCTCATTTATTCATACCACAGACTGGGTAGACAATGCCCTGAGGCACTTTCTAAAGATGCTGAGAAACTGAAAGACTTTAGACTGAGGTGAATATATACTTGGCTTTGTCTTCTTTATGGTCTTGTATAGTCTTGTGTTTTAATAATAATAATAATTGAAATTCATGCTTGCAGACTTCATTACTTTGCTAGGAGTGTGCAAGGATACATGAAAAAGCTTCAGGAAGCTCTTCGTGGGAAGACTGGCGAAGAATTGAAATCTGAGGAAAACAAGTTAAAAGTTGTAGCTCTTAAAACAACTTCAAACATTAACACCCTGATCAAGGACCTATTCCACACACCCCCAAGCTTCAAGAGTAACATTGTCCTCTCTTGGAAACCACCCAGTGCATCATACACCAATGTGAGCCAGTGTTTCAGTGGCGTTAAACTGTGTGCCTGATGTGAGATTTTAATTTTATTTTGCCCTTGTTAGCAGGATAGAGAAATTTTGAATGACTCTGTACGTTCAGGCAGTAAGAGGCACACACCTATCACATTTGGAGCAGACTCACCAAAGCATCCTAGAACCAGCATTTCAAACCAGAGAGAAATTTATACCCCTCCTAGTGGGAAATACAGCAACAAAGTGTCCAGCTACAGTAAGTATTTTGTAAGTGGAAAATCAATACATCTCTATTATTACTGTTTTCTTTATGTCCTTGTTTATTTTGTTTTCACAGTGCCTCAACGAGGTGGTGTGCGAGGAACCCGAAGCCGTGGCAGAGGATTTGGAGGACGAGGAAGAGGTGCATGGAGGGGGCGGAATTATTGAAAGCTCATGTCATGAAGTCTCAATTACTTTTATTATTTGACATCAGGAATGTTGTGATAGTTCCAATTATGCTAACTTCTTTTGTATTAATATTTGATTTAGTTTTGTACATACATACATATATCTATGACTTAGGCCTGAATGAATCAGTTTCTTACAAATCAAATAATTCTTATAATCTAATTTATGACGGAGATGAGCTGTAAATGGATTGGAGAAGGGAGTGCAATTTTTTTTATCCAAAAGATGTGATTTTGTCCTGTAGATAGTTTGAATGAACATGCTAATGAGAAGGGCCTAACTAATAAGTTAGTCTGAAGTCAGAATTAAGCTAATCAGTGATGTACCGATTCAAGTGTGAATGTATTAACTTTTCACAGACCTTATTATGCAAAAATTTCCTCCTGAACTAAGGACTATAAGAAGACTATCTTCCTTCCTCCATCCAGTTTTTTGTCAAACTAAAACAACAACTAAATAATAAAAATGACTCTCCAAAGTGAAAAGAAATAAAATGAAGTGAATTTATAATAACTAGATTTGAACGGTACATCATCCTGAAGTAATATTTGTATCTGTCCTCTCTTCATACCTTTTTTCACAGTTATCTTATGCAACGAAGCTTAGTACGCTGTACTTTTGTGTCTCCTCTTCAGCCTTAGGCTCGTTGTGTGAAGAAGATAGCGCGTATTTTGCAGCATTGGCACAGCACAGCTTCAGGAGTCTGTTTTACCCTTTTTTCCTTTTCAGGGCATGTTAAAGCACGAGTTACAGTCTACAAGTTCATTTGTTTGCTCTTACCGATGTCATTGGATGTTTTCTTCCTCTAGGTTTTGTCCGCTATGATGCTGAAGTTTCGTCTTGATGTCTTTCCAAACCTTCTTGTTTTGGTGATTTCAGTGGGCTTTTGCTGCATAATTGGTATTGTTGGTACTGATAATATGTTTTCTTTCAGGTCTCAGGTGAGTAATTGAGTTCTATTGTATATTCTCTCTTCCCTTGAACCATTGATGTATTTAGAGGATTTTTGTTTGTTTATTAAAGGAATTTTTTTCCCCTTTAATATGTAGAACTAATTAGGCTACTACAAATGAATCACAAATTGAACTGAATAGATCGTGTCATTCTCTCTGCATGTAGTACGTTTCTCTTATTTCCTGTACTTACCCTGCATAGTCATCATTAATTTTGTCAGAATGTGAGCATGTTTGTCCACGTGATCATAGCACTGATCTCCTGGTTTGTCCAACAGAACACAAACACCGTAGGCCGTAGCTCATTGGCTGAGCCCAACTAATCTTTTCTGTTTCTTTAACTTTAACTTAGCGAGGCCATTTGACAGGGGGCTCTGCCCTTAGCAAAACAGTGTGCCTGTAACACGCCGTAATTATGACAAAATCATCTTCAGAGATGCGTTTATGGCATTAGTCTCCGTGAAAATAATTTGATTTGTCAAAATTGTTACTATTTACAATATTTAAACTCAAACATCGGGTACAAGCAGACAATACAAATTGGCAGTAATGGACGTTAGCTTTGTTTACACTCCCTTGTCCATCTTTCCTATCTGATGTAGCAGACAGCTCCGGCTGTTCCAAAGTTTCAAATTTAAACTCAATTTTCAAAAATAATTGTTCCCCTTCATGAATCTCAAAACCATACACTCGAATTACATTTTGAAATAGACATGGGTACCTTGGCTTACTTTAATCTCATCCTCTGAGCAAGGTTTTTATTGATTCAACAAGGCGGTTGCTGTGTTCCTATTATGTGGGTTTGGCGATAGGGATGTTACATTGTAAACTGAATCAACTCCCACCACTCTTGAAGTGTCTTGTATTAAACAAATCAATAAAAAGAACTTGTAGCTTGGCCTCTACTGTAAGTAACACAAACACAGAATGTTTTTTGAAATTAAAATGGATACACCATTAACTTGGCCACTGAAGGAACTTCTGCATTTCGAGCACAATTCAAATTCCCCCTCACCCTTACAAAGTTTGTGATCTGATTTGCCTTCAAGGCAGATTGTGTCTTCTTGAAATTTCGTTGAAACCAGCTCGTCCCTAGTGAATTCAAATAGTCGCGCTATCTGTGTCGGACCGCCCACATCCCACGGAGAGTCAGGGTCCCCCAACATGCGGCCTGCAGGGCGGGACTTGTACGTGTACGCTTGGTGGCCTGCCCTAGAGTCGCCGGGCGGCCGGGAGTGAAGACGAGACAAGGAGACAGCACTGTTCGGCGAGAGAGCAGGGAGGTGGAGGACGAAATTGTCTATCCAACCCAGAGACGGGGTGGGTGCCAAAAAAAAGAAAGACGTTTCCCGTATAAATGGCGCTGAGACGCGATTCTTGACAAATACAAGATTGTAATGTCTGCAGGGCTGTTTCCCCTTCTCGTTCTGGGCAAGAAGGAAGGGGTTCGTCGAAGCGCCGGAACCGCTTTCGGCTTGGGTCTAGCCTGTTGGACGCGGTCACCATCACGAGACCGTCGCAACGTGCAAAACGTCCCCCGAACCCCCCGGTCACGCTCGGCCACACCGGTCTTATGGTCGGGACCACACACCCGTCATTAAGGCCCCAGCGGCACGGCTGGCTGATTCCGAGCAGTTCTTCTGCCTCTCTGTCTCTCTCGCACTCATGTGGCGTCTCATATTGGTACGAGAGAGACAGAGCGATGGAACGTTGAGTGTGTGGTTATGAAGCGCGTCTGCGACCCCGGCCGCGGGTAGAGCGGCGGCCCGCGACGGAAGCACGCGGCACGCGGACGGCGTGGTGCTGGTGGCACCGGCGGCACTTGGACTTTCACGCGCCAGAACCGGACCGGGACGCGCAGGGGCCGCGCCGACCGTCGCGTCCCCGTACCGGTGGAGTCCCGATGGAGTCTGCGGAACCCGGAGCACCCTGGAGTCATCATTGTCGAGTCCGACGTTGCCCAGCACGAGCACGGCGTTATGGGACGAGGGGCAGTGGGCAAGACGACAGCCTTTAACCGGTGAAGCTAGGCAACTTGCAGGCCCATCTTCAGCCAGGATGAGTCTCTCTCACTCCTTCCCCCTCCCTTGCCCCTTTCCGCGACTTCCAGCGCGTCGCGGCCATCCCCCGCCCCCGCCGCGCTCGCTGGCCACTCCACACGTAACACCCCGTCTGGTCAACTATCGCGGCACGCGGCACCGCGACGGGCCAGTCTCCCGCATACCTCCCGGCCCGCTCTTCCAGCACCACATGGAGTGCCTGGAGTGGCCAGAGAGGCCGCGGTGCCGCCGCCTGACCGCAAGGCGTTGCCGGAGGTGCCGCCGGGCCACTGCGCAGTGCTCGGCGGAGGAAGAGGTTGGGCAAGGTGAGGCCTAGGCCAGGGCGCGTAGGGCTGGGCTGGCTGGGCTGGCAGCTGGAAGTCTGGCAGACGCGGCGCGGCGCGCGGTGGGCAGGGCTGCACGGGCTGCACCGGGCAGCCCGTCGTTGAGCCACCGACTTTGCGACAGCAGCATGCCACGTCACCTCTGAGATAACACGTGGCAGGGCGGCCAGGACGACCATCACGCTCTCCTGGACAGGGAGCGGGCGGAGCGGTCGCGGCCGGGCTCTCTCGCCTCGACTTGGCCCTGTTTGACTTTCATGACAACGGCCGCCATAAAAAGACGATTTGTCGAGGACGCTGTTCACTTTCGGTCGCGGCCGGCACGTACACCATACCAGTAACCCCGAATCCGAATCGCGCAACGTGGCGCGGTGCGGCGTGGGGGTCACGGCCCCCGCGTCTGATGCCTGTCCCGCGCCCACACCCCGCACCGCACCGCCATGGCACCGCCACGGCACCGCGGTGGACGAGCGGGCTCTTTCCATCACCCTGTCTCTCTTGCACTCACGGGTACGGGTATCCCGTTGCGGCTCGAGAGAGACGGGGCAACGAAGCACGGTCCAGAATCAGTGTGATGAGCGTGCTCATCGCTGTCCCCAGCACGGTCTGAGCCCCACGAGGGTGGCCGTGCGGTTGTGGGTGGCTGGGTCCTCGCCAGTGGCGCGGCCGTCATGGCGTGGCGGCGGCGAGGCGAGGGCAAGGCGAGGGCAAGGCGAAGGCAGCGGTGGCACCCACACGGGGAATCTGATCAAGGCGGCTGGCGGGGCAATGCCAACGCGGTCCGGGGCCCGGACAGGCCGGGACAGGCCCGGACTCCTACGGGCTAGCCGCGCGGCGCGCGCCGCACCGCATGAGTCAAAATACAAGACGAATCGAGTGCAAGGTCAACCAGTGCGGCACCCAGGACCGCCACGCCGCCATTCCGCCGCGACAGGGCCTCGCAGGATCCTCCAGCACCGCCTCGACGACGGGGCGACGGGGCGACGGGGCCCTCGGGGCGTCGCGACGCGCCTTGTCTGGCTGGCGTTGCCATGGCGGCATGGCGGCGGCCGGGGGCGGCTCGTCACGGCGCGGCATTGCGACTCGTATCGCTTTCAATCGGCCCGAACGGCGGACGGCGGCTAAACGCGAGTTCCGCCGCGGGCGAACGGCAAACGATTTCGGAGGGCCGGCCGGGCGGCCGCAGCCGTGGCGCAGGCGTGGCGCAGCCTTGCAGCGTCTCGCCGACCAGCGACAGACAGGCTGTCTCCGCATGTTCCGAACAGAGGTTTCGTCGCTCTGTCTCTGTCGCACTCGTGGGGTGTTCCGTGGTGTGAGAGAGACGGGGAGAAGAAACGCCGAGTAGGATCGCGCTGCAGTGGGTCAGTGGCGTGCCACGGCGTGCCACGCCACGACGCCAAGCGTAGGGGCGGGGCTGTGATGCCCGTGATACGCGGCGCAGAGGCCGGATTTGTTTGTTGGTTTTACCCGCAAGATAGTCCTGCCTCGTCCTGCATCGTCCTGCCTCGTCCTGCCTCGTCCTGTGTCGTCCTGCATCGTCCTGCGACGGCCGTGCAGGGCGGCCAGGGCCAGGGCAGCCCGTCGCAAGGACCGTGGTGTGGACGGTGTAGATCCAGTATGCAGGCGGACAGGCAGACGCTCGACGCTGCACGCGTTGCTCAAGTATTTCTTTCGCTCGCACGACGCACGTCGCACGTCGCACGTCACTGGTAGGCAGCCACGGCTGCTGGCAATTAGATGAGAGACCAGCGCCGCTTTGCCGCTTTGCCGCTTCGGTACTTCTCGGGACGGGGCAACATTCACGCGGCCACGCCGCCACGCCACTCGTCCTGAATGAGGACCGCCTTGAGCTAGGGGGCAGCAGTAACAAACAACGGCAGTGCGGGGTACACGAACGGCTGCAGGCTCCAGGCAGCTCCAGGCAGCTCCAGGCAGCTCCAGGCTCATCCCAAGGTCGGGTCTCGGGTACAGCACGGTTCGGACTGCGGACTGCGGCCGCAACGGGCTTCGGGGCTACGGCCTGCCTCGGCCAGCCTGCATGTGTGTCTGCGCGTGTCTTGCGCAATGCATCCGATTTTATCCGGTGGGCTGGCCGGGCCGGGCCGTGCCCGCCTGCAACCTGGAACGGCGGGGCAAGTCCGTTCGCATGCTAACAAGAATCGGAACAGCGACTTTACGGCGGGGCGGGCGGGGCCGGGCAGGCTGGGACTCCGCGGCTCCGCGGCTCCGTGGCACATCGCACCGGCGGTTGCAAGGTCCGCGGCGACGCCCTGCCCCTGCAGGCTGAGTCCGAGCAGAGGTCCGTCGGTGGGTCTCCCCCACACCCCTACGGGACTTCCCTTGAGTGCGAGGGAGTGAGCGCGACAGCGCGACGAGGCACTGTTCGGAATGGTTCGGCACCAGCCACGTGCGTACGGCGGGCACGCGGTGAGCACGCGGCGTGCCAGGACTCAGGACTCCCCCAACCTTGACTGTAGGCAAGACACCGCACTGACGAAATGCGTCGGGTGCCATCCAGGCCCAAAGACACGGCTTATCGCGCTGTTTCGCTGCGACTACTGTAGCTAATGTGCGTCGGAACTGTTGAAATACGACGTGCCGTTCTAAAATGACTGCCTCATCGCATACTGCGTGAGCGGCGTGGGCAGTGGCAGCCAGCATGCTCCAAACGACTAATGCCCGTAGCTCCTGCAGTCCGTGTCTCGGCCCGCTCAGCCGAAACACACACACTCGCTCTCTCCCTCACTCTCTCTCACTCTCTCTCCCTCTCTCCCCCCCCCCC